CAACCACGCCACCACTCAGCAAAGAAATGGATGATTTGATTGTATACTGCCTGGAACAGAAATTTGAGCTGGTAATAGGTTACGACTCAAATGCTCATCACTTCAGTTGGGGCAGTAAGGACTACAGCGCTGGAGGTAAGGCAGTGAAACACTAATAGATATCACTTTATCCACAACTGGTATCTATAAATTAATTCTAAACTGGCAAGTGTCTGATAACATTTCGATGTCAGACGACGGCTGGTTAACATTCATTGCCGACCTTTACAGTATCTCGGAACCTTAGGAAGACGGACAGGGCAATCTATGCCCATCTTCTCCAAGAGGCTCTGAGAGAGGGAGGCTGAGACATCAAAAAATAACAATGCTTTGGAGAAATATTCAAAACACTATCCAAAGCACAATAAACAATGCCTGTAAGAAAGTCTGTCCCCTGAGGCTGGTCCAACACGATCAGACGACTACCGCATGGTGGTGTCACGAGTTGGATCACCTCAGGAAGATGGCTAGGAAATCCTTTAATAAAGTCGTCGCATGAACTTACACGGCTATCACAAGACCTATGCTAACATACGGTGCAGTTGTCTTGGTACCGAAAACCCAAAAATTAACAGCTATCCGTAAACTAGAACAAATTTAAAGAACAGCATGTCTCAACATAACAGGAGCCATGAAAAGAACACCGACCAGAGCGATGAAAGTCCTTCTTAGTCTCACTTCCCTTGGAATTTACATCAAGGAGGTTGCTCTGACGATAGTGACACGCCTCCGCCTGTTGGAATAAAACCTGATGTAGGATCTGGTGAGACGAGATTCTTAAACCTAAACATAAAATGGGCTGTGAGCAATAGTGCCAGTGTAGTTCAAACAGAGCTAACGAGGATTCCCATAGCAGCAAAAGAAATAACCAGAACGAATATCGCTGGAAGGAACATGCTCGTCTATACAGATAGCAGATAAGCACTACTCACCCTGAACACACCACGAATTTATTTAAGGTTAGTACTAGAATGTCACGAAGCTTTGGCCGAAGTATCCATCAACAATGTGGTAACCTTAAGATGGATCAAAGGTCACGCCACATCGAAAGGTAACCGTCTTGCTGCAGCCAACCAAATACTTTTTGGACCTGGCCCTTCTATTGGAAAGGAAAGATGGGATCAAACAAGAAACTGCAGAGTTGACAGGGAGCTCTTAAGTTATCTTGACAACACTGCAGCAAACAAATACTTGACTATGACTAGACAGAATCTGCTCCTAGTCACAGGCATTTTGACTGGTCATTGCCAAGTACGGAAGCATCTCCATATCATGGGGATGTCAGAACCCGCACTCTGCAGAGGGTGCGAACAAAAAGATGAGACCATCGAGTATATCCTTTACGATTGCTCGACGCTCTCATTTATTAGAAGATTTGTGTTCGGCGAGTATCGGCTAACCCCGGGCGATATAAGAGAAGCACCTCTTGGCGACGTTGTCAACTACATTAAATCAGTAGGTTGGCTCACGAGCTAGGAGGTGCCTATCATTTTAGGAGGGCACAATGGGCCTAATGAGGCCTAAGTGTGGTGGGTGGTAACCCACCTTCCACACGCTACATATACAGAGATCCACTAATATTAGAAATATAAAAGTAACTTTTTTCACTAGTGCGTAAAGTATATTTTGTTACTATGTACAATTTTTATTAAATTTTACTTTTTTTCACTAGCGCACTAGTAAAAAAAATACAACTTTACGCACTACAGTATGTACTTATATTTGTTATGTATAAGAAACCGAGATATTTGTTTGCGACTATTTTCTTTCTTTTTAACAAATTTTGAAAGTGGTATTTGTATCTACCTTATTTTCTTCTCGGGGTGAAAAACACCCTATTTGATCTTGTACGTCGTTCTTTTTTAGGCATGTTAAAGTGGTATTTGAACGTAACTTGTGCTAAAAAAAAAATGTTTTTATGTCTACGAGCGGAGTTATTTGTATCCTATTAATAATCGGAAAATTCCCTTTGGGGTTGATTTAAACTTGTAAGTGGTTTTCTTTAAAGTATATTGTAAGTTGTATTTGTATTTAACTTGTATTAGAAAATAAATAGGAACAGAGATAGTTTATTGCGACTATTTTTCCATTGGTGGTTGATAAACACCTTATTTGATCTTGGAAGTCGTTCTCTTTAAAATTTATTAAAAGTGTTATATTTTCCTACCTTATGCTAGAAAATATTTATGGTTTTATGTCTAAGAACCGATATATTTGATTGCGACTATTTTTTCTTTTGTATCCTACCAAGTTTAAAATAATAAAGTAGTATATTGTTAAATTAATTATTTATTTGCAAATTTTAGTGGTAGATGCCTCCTTCAATAATTACGACGCCACTGACAGTTCGGCAATTAGTCGCTAAAAATTAATCTCTAAGTTCACACCGATTATAAAGTACACATATTTGTCACTAGATGGCGTTAAAGTCGTGACTTACGGCCCTATACAGACAGAAAAGTAAAAAACTTAACTTATATTATTTATGTTCCATTCAGAATAAAGAATCCTTTAACAATTTTTTGTCTTTATTTAAAAGCATTATGTCAAAAATATCGAAAACTTTATTGTAAAATACCTACTTACCTATTTGTATTATTTTTACAAAATACACTACGTTTAAAAACTTAGCCAGAATCAGAATCTTCCCAATCGTAGTAGGCTCTGCTGTAGGGTTTTATGTCATCTGCCAATATTTATCGTCTGTCAGTAGTCGGTACGGTATGCAAGTGCTAAATGTTTCTCATCGTTGTGTAAAACTTTTTGTGAAAATCAGTGAAAAACTTTTGAAGACTATGCACAATATGAAGAATAGGTAGCACCGATGTTTCTCTCAACACAAATACTTAAAAAAAAGGTAAGATTTCAGTACATTTTCGTAGGTGATATTTCATTGTAGGTATAGTGGTGGCGTCTGTTCTAATTGTCATTCTAGAATTTAATTTTTAATTATGGTAATTAATAATTATTAGTTATAGTAACTAGATAATGGGAGATTTAAAGTTTTCTTATTATTTATAGTATACCTACTTATATATCTATAATCTTTTAATTACATTTTTTGTATTATTCTTTTTTGAATATTTTTGAATGCCAATCAAGGTCACCGAGCTTGTGTTTGACGTTGATATTTTTCTTTTTAGTATAAGTTGCTTTTAAAATATCATAGTAAACATGGTTAGTTTCAAAATTTTATTGATTGTAAATGTATAACAATTTTATTATACCTAATTTGTTTATTAGGTAATCAATATACCTAAGTACAATGGTAAATTTGGTAGTATTTAACTAAAGTTATAGAGAAATGGGCTTTTACGCAATTTTCTGAACTTTTATATTTTGAAGATGCCGATTTCCCGAACAATTTTGTCCATGGGCCCAACATAATTCTTTGACTGGTTTTTGATATACAGGGTTGAAATAGCAAATTGCCTATTTCTTAAAAAGTTCTTTAATTACAAAATTTTTTTTACAAATAATGTTTTTTAATACTTGCAGTAAAATCTTTGACGTGAATTATTATGATTAGTTACAGGGTGAGTCTCAAATTACTGAAAATTTTAATTTTTTTCTAGCATAGGATTATTCTTCAAATTAATACCACGCGAAACTCTGGTTAATTATTAGACATTTTATACAGGGCTAGGTAAAAAGTTAATAGATCTTGTTTGCGGTTATTAATAAATTTTGATGTTTTTTTTTATACTGTGTTAATAATAGATATCAAACCGTTTTAAAATTGTTTAATTGTAGGTACATATAGTAGATTTTTATTTTAAAATACAGGGTATTTCACTATAAAGTAACACATTTTAAGAGCTTGAAACTCAAGAATGGAAAAATATATCGACGTGTAGTTTTCGGTTTTCTTACATTTGATTCAAGTTATTGTTGACATAGTTGCCAAATTTATATTTTTTCTCGAAATTGCCGGAAAACTGTTTTTTTGAGTGTGTTCGTTCCTGATCTGTTTTATATCAATTATTTGACATTTCTTAACGTCAGTTATATTTTTTTAAAAGCCAATATGTCAGACAGCTTTGAAAAAAAGACACAGTTGATTATAAGAGTATCAGATCATTTTATATTTGAGATAAACCAAAAAACTAACCTAAAAATTGAATAAACTTTAACAAAAAATTCCAATAATCTTACAATTACATGTTTTTGATGTAATTTCATAAAAACATATCTTCCAAAAATCTTTAATTTGTCCCATTTAAAAAATTGTGACAAAAAATTACTTTTTTAAAGAAATTTAAACAAAAAACTAATTTTTTTACATGAATTATTCAAATATTTTTGCATATTATCGGTACCCTATTTATCTGCTTATTTATTTGCGAAAGAATTTAAAACCTCTGTACATTCATGCTTGAAATATTTTGGAAACTCTCCGTAAAATCAACATGAAGAACCTCCAAGTGTTTAAAGTAAGTAAGTAAATCTTCCTGTTTCGCGGAAACTGTTGATAGTCTGGGAAAGTGTTTGTATTCACCTCTACTTAGATTTGGTTTGAATAAAAGAAGTTTTCCCGTAAAAGCAGTCTTGATGCTTTTTGATTTAATTAAGTAATTTAACTTCATTAAATATTTTAAACAAGTCTAACAAATATGCGATATCATTTTTTGATAGAATCTGGTTTTCTTGCAATTTTTCGCTTCTGCCCTCAAGAAAGTCAAGAACTGAGTTAAATAGATTAAAAAAACCCGCACATGCATGCGCACTCATCAACAGCGCTTTTGTAACATTTTACAATATATTTATAAAAAAAATACAGTTTTCAACAATACCAGTATCCCATGTAACTAATAAAACAGTTTCACTGATGTATTTGACAGAACAGATACTTCACTTGTCAAAAAAGTCACTAAAAACGGACATTTTTATTAGATTTCTTGTTCTAGCAGATCACGTGAGATACGGGTATTTTTGAAAAGTCTCTAAATCGAATGGCTTACCTTAGGGGATCTTTTATATGAATATATCTATCTAGTGAAATGGCGCATAGATTCAGTATACTAGCCGTTGAGCACATAACGTCGAAGGCCACCCACGTATCGCAAAATTGAGCACCGAAAATCCAATATCCTGAAAATAAAAACTAAATTAAAAAACTAAGTGGGTTTATAACAATAGTGTGAAATTATTAAAAAAATTAATAAATGAAATATAATAACTCTATCAACTTTTATTAGTCACTTGTTGATCATCACAAGTCACTTGTCAACTGTTAATTTTTAACTTTGTCAATTATTAACCATCAATTGTTAATTGTTAATGGTTAACTTTTAATCAATTATCAACTGTCAATCATTGTTGTATCCATCAAAAAAACAAAAAAATTTTCAGAACACCAAATCTGTTAATACCGCTAATACCGTTAATACCTGTTCTAGCCAAGGAAAGTTTTGCAAAACTAAAATGATCTTTAATAATATTGATGGGGGGGGGGGGGGGGGTGGTTGGCTCAGTGGGTTAGAGTCATGACTTTGAGATCGGAAGGTCTCAGGTTCGAATCCCACCGTTGGCCGGGATTTTTTCATTTAATTTAATTCTGATGCCTTGGTAGGATTCCCCACTCGACCATTTACTGTTGGGTTCTAATTAACAGTGCTGTTCCTAAAGTGGCGCTCGGAAACAGTAACAAAGCCTACACAGAACACGAGGCTAATGGCCATAGTAGTCGACGCCGATGACACCAAAATAAAAAAAAAAAAAAAATAATATTGATTTTAAGTTAGATTGCAGTAAGAATCGCACTTTTTTCTTGCTTTCTGAAATAATGTTGGTTATAACTTTGTTCGGGACAGGTATTTATTACTCTCAATAATTAACTTTCAATTCTTAACTGTAAATTTTCAACTTTAAATCATTGTAAACTGTCAATTGTCAATAATTGAACAAAATTGAAACAATTAAAAAACAAATTTAACTGTAAAAATTTTCAAAACATCGAAACTCTTGATACTACAAACTTGTTCTAGCTAAAACAATTTTTGAAAACTAAAATGATCTCTGATAATATGGATTTTAAGGCAGACTGCAGTAAGGATCTCACATTTTCTTGCTTAATACTGTTTCTCAAACAATATTAATTACAACTTTGTTCGGGACTGGTATTTAATTATTAACTGTCAATTGTTAACTCTCAATGATTAACTGTAAAAAGTTTCAGAACATCGGAACTCTTGATACTGCAAACTTGCAAACAATTTTTGAAAACCAAAATAATCTCTAATAATATGAATTTTAAGGTAGATTGCAGTAAGGATCAAACTTTTTCCTTGTTTAGTACCATTTCTGAACTATTGTTGGTTACAACTTTGTTTAGGACAGGTATTTAATTATTAACTGTTAACTGCTAATTATTAACCGTTAACTGTTAACGGTTAATTGTTAATTATTAACTAACTGTTAACTGGTAATTGTTAACTGTTAATTGAGGCGGTCTTTGTATAAACTCCAATTGTCATTAAATTCAACTTCCTTGGTTTTTGATGAAGACTGCTGTTGACATATAAGGTTTATGAAGAATGTTCCATATTTTAACCATTCATATCTTTGATTTTTACGCAAGGGGTATAGATACTTATGCTATATAATCATAAGTATTTTAATATAAAATACTAGAAAAACTGACATATGTGGTTTTTGCAAAATACGCCACAATTGTTAACTGTTAACTGCTAATTGTTAACTGTTAATTGTTAACTGCTCACTAATAACTGTTAATTGTTAACTGTTATTTGTCAATTTTTATTCGTCAATAGTTAACCGTCAATCGTTAAATCCCGACAAAACTGACATGGTTTTTTGCAAAACTCGCCACAATTGTTAACGGTTAATTTTTAACTGTTAATTGTCAACTGTTAATTGTTAATTATAACTGTTAATAGCTAACTGTTAATTGTTAACTGTTAACTGCTAATTGTTAACTGTTAACTGCTAATTGTTAACTGTTAACTGCTAATTGTTAACTGTTATTTGTCATGTTTTATTTCTTAATTGTTAACCGTCAATTGTTAAATTCCAGAAAAACTGATGGTTTTTTACAAAACCCGCCACAATTGTTAACTGTTAATGGTTAACTGTTAACTGCTAACTATTAATTGTTAACTGCTAACTATTAATTATTAACTGTTAATTGTTGACTGTCAATTTTTTACCTTCAATTGTTAACTGTCAATTGTTAACTCATTTAACATATTTTCAATCGCTTTTTATTTAAAATAAACCCGTTATTGTCTGGTTATTTATTAGTTATTGTTTGACTTACCTAATATGTCATTGACTCCGGCGAACGTCATTACCAGACAAGCGACGAAGAGATCTGCGATAGCCAAGCTGGCTAGAAAGAGATTCCCTATGCGACGTAGGCCTCTGTCCGTATAGATGGCGACACAGACCAAGATGTTCCCCGCTACCGATAGAAAAATCAGCAATGACAGGAACACTCCTGAAACGTAAAAATTAAATTAGTTAGAAATATAGGAAATAAGGATTTTTTTTTATTTTGTGTGTATTGCTTAAAAAAACGCATAAAAACTGCCTTGGTATATAAGTAATAGGACTAATCAGTCATTTGAATAGTGGTTAAGAATGGAGCTACGTGTATAGTTGAGATTTTCTTATATGTACTCGTGCAGATACTATTGACCTATTTATTTGGTAACATATATTAAATTGGATGCTCTTTTTGTCTTTCATTTTCGAATATCAAGTTCCAATATCGACGATCACCTGCCCGCGCACGTCTTGTTATCTAAATTATCTCCATACTGCTTTCCCTTGACAACTCGATTAGCGATAAACAACACATTCACTGACTCTATGTCCAACTACCGTATAATAACCCATCTAAAATCCCATAATGTGTCCGTTTACAAGCTAAAATCGCCCTTATTATCAAGGAAGAAAATTTTCCGGGTCTCTAGGCCAAAGAGGGATCAAACCAAGCCGTGGCCCTGTAACGTAAACAGATATAAGCATCAAGTGGGTCTTGGATAAGTCTCTTGGGAGCGTGTCAAAGAAACTGAGGAGGAGTGACGAAGGGGCGCGTGGAGATAGTGAAGGGGACGCGTTGGTCCGATGTGACGTTAATTCTGAGACCGTCCAAGATATTATCTGTGGTGTTTTTTTTCTAATAAATGCTGGATTTAGTTTGTGAATGCAACGGTACGTGAAATTATAAGGTGAACAGTTGACAGGATTGAAAGGTTTTGAAGTTACATCTTTTCTATTTATTATATGTTGAAATTCTTTGCTATATTTCGAAGGATTATATTAAACACTTGTAACAAAGCATTTTTACTTTTATTACTATTTACAACAAATACAATGACTTCAAGGGTAGCTTTTTTAAGAGGCCCGAATGCCGACATGACATATATCGATCTCTCTTTGTCTAGCACTTCGGATTTGTTCGTCTCCCATCGCAATTCCCAAGTGTTTTCGGTTCGGTTTGGTATTAAAATTTAAAATTATTTCGCTATAAGTAATGCGATTTTATTTTAAGTAAATATCTATTTTGAGTAGGTATTATAAAAACAAAAAAATGTTGGAACAAATAAATATAATGGGCAAACTCTTTTCCCTCTATTAACAATTGTTAATAATATTAATAATATTATACATTAAATGTCACTTTAATAACATTTACATTTAATTTCAATTTTTCCCACGACGTGTCTGTTTGATAGAATATCGCAGTATTGTCTGCAAAACCAATTATATTTCCCGAGGTTCTTAACGAAAACAGGCCATTTAAATATAGATTAAATAGTATGGGTCTGAATACTGTTCTCCGAGGCACGCCATAATCACCGACTTTTGTATCACTGGTAACATTGTCCATTCTTACAGCTTGGTACGTTTTCTTTAAATAGCTCTCAAAAAGCTTTTAATATTTGTCTTTGATACCTATATCTTGTAGAAACTGCAAGAGTAGACGATGGCTAACAGTGTCAAAAGCCTTTGACAAATCGATAAAAATGAATAAGCATGGCTTGCTGTCATCAAGATATCTAATTATTTTTGACGTTAAAGCTAGAATAACATTCTGAGTTGACAGTTTTTCTCTGAACTCATACCGTTTGAAATAATTTTATATTTATCCAAATAGGAAACTAACCGAACTTTAATATTTTTTTTAAATATTAGTTATTAGTGATATTGGTCGATAATTATTTACGTCTGTAGGATCTCCTTTTTTAAGCAATTGAATGATTATAGATTTTTTAAAACAAGATAGAAACATTCCTTGATTAATGCATACATTAAAAATAAAGCGGTTAAGAAATAAAGTTTCATATTAATTTATTCGTTTATTTGATTAATCTATGGCAAAATAATTATTATCAGATACTCGTATTAGTCAGCAACCATTTCTTAACCGAATTGTATGGCTATAAATCAAATAGTTTTTATGTACTTACTTTCTAGCTCTTTTACGAGATTGAGAACCGAAAAAAATTTATGAAAGACATGATATATAAAAACAGAAAGTCTGATACATATCAATACACGTTAATAAATAACATAAAAGAAGCAGGTGTTTATGTTTCGCACGAACTTTAGGATATTAACCACGTCTCTGTTTTTTTATCCGCACTCCTATGTAATTCAAGCTCAAGGGGGGATAAAAGAAAAATTATAATAGTTATTTATGTACCTAATATGTTTAACTTTATCTATTACGAATTGATTATATTAACAAAAAGAACTTATCGTCTAATTTGTTTGGACCGCTTGATATCCATATTTTTTATTCCTTATAAAATATTTTATGTTCTAAACATCGTACAGATGCCTTTTCACCTTGATTTTTGCAATAAAGTAATGGATAATCAAATGAATTTATACTAAAGTGAATTTAATTCTCTTAATACCCACAAAAACTAACCATGTGAGTTTTGGATCATCAAGTGTGTTTTAGCAGTTTTAATTTCCAGTTGTGCTTTGGCTTTTAGTCGTTTGAATTAAATTTTATGTTTGATTGGTTTATATCTTCTGTATAAATTAAAAGCAGATTTATTTGCTCGAATTACACACTTTTCATTCCACCATAGTACCGGGGTGGGACCAATTGTGTTTCTTGATTTTCCAATGAATTTTTCAGCACTTTTTATAACCTACGTCCAGGGACAGTAAAAGCAGTAAAAGGCCTTGAAGACTCAGCCACTTCTTGATTAATATTTTTTGTTATTTCTGCAGAATGGACATATTTATCTATAAAATTAGAAAATTCTAGCCGTTTTGCTGTTTCTAGTTTCAATTTTGGAATAAATTTAGGACTGGTTGAGGCACTGATACAGTTGTAATTTTTAATCAAGATTAAGAAGTAACCACTTCAATAAATACACGGAATAGTTTCCCCATCCTAGTTAGAGGGCTAGATTAGAGTCGCAAAGTCTAAAATCAATGTAAGAAGAATCCTTGGTCGAAATGTTGAATCTGGTAGGACTTCCATTATTAAGAAAATTAAGGTGAAGCTCGTCAATAAGGTTTTTAATCAATTTGTCTCTTGTTGTTGTATTTTCCGATCCCCACATTACAATGTGAACGTTAAAGTCTCCCAAATAGAGCGGAGGGATGGAAGTTGTTCGATTAAATCAACCAATGTATTTATTTCTAAACTGTTATTTGGGAGAAGATATATGTTGCAAATTGAAATTGTGGTGGAAGTTGACACTTTGACAGCTATTGCTTTTAAATTAGTATTAATGAGAATTTGTTGAGCTTCAATAGATTTATTTATTCGTACCGCTACGCCTCCGCTAAGAACCCCAAGTAACAAAAAATTATTTGGCGTAGATTCAAGTAGTATATCTCCTTTTATTAGCTGATTTGGATGCGTCCGTATATAATATTAAGGCATCTTTAAAATCACTTAAAGTAGAGAGTAATATATTGCTACTTATAGGTATATTTTCTTCATAGTTTGGTTTAATAAAGAAATCTAAAAAAATCATTAATTCCAGGGTGGTGGGTTGTTTTATACAGAGCACTTACAATATTACAATATTGCTACGGTTTTGTAAGACGAGACAAAGGGGTGGGGATTTTTTTTAACCCAATATGTATTAGTCAAATCATAACTATTTCATATATTAATCTGAAAAAATAATTTAGGATTATTGGTATAGATTTTAATTAACATTTTTTCACTGAGATAATTTCTTCTTGTTTCCAAAGGAGGTTCCAGAGCTTCCACGTGTAAGGGTTGAATAGGAGTAGACTTTATGGCACCTAAGAGTGTCCTTAGAGCAGAGTTTTGAAAAATATTGATTTTGTTTCATAGATTATTACTAGCAGAACCATATAATGTCTATCCGTAATCCAAGATAGAGCGAATATAAGCTCTATAAAATAATCGAGCAATTTCAATATCAGCACCTCACCAACTCTTACTAACCGATTTTAAAAAATTCACTCCTTTATTGCATTTATTCAGCGTACTATCAGTATGGGATTTCCATGTCAGCTTCCTGTCCAGAATCATACTCAAGTACGTCGCCTTATTTTGAATCATGAAATTGTCGGGTCCAAACATGATATTATTCATATTAGGTGAATTATGTCTTGTAAAAATACATATCATAGATTTGTTAACTGATAACTTCAAGCCATTTGTGGACAACCGTCTTTGTAAAACTAAATAAATCTTTTTTAAGTTTTCTACGGCGGTTTCAATTTTTTTTGTGTTCATTATAAATACAGAAATCGTCAGCATATTGTACAATATTAAATGATAATGTACTATTAATTTATTTGAATATTATCGATGTTTAAAGTGCAAAAACTCATAAGTCGATTTTGTGATTTATTTGTTTTTTGATTGGAAAAGTTGGCAAATTGCAGATTTTTTAAACTAGAAAAACTAATAAGTTATACTATAAGTTTTAATATTAATAATAATTTGACTTGCGAGCTTCTGTATTTTAAAAATAATTGACATTTGTCTCATAACTCATAAATTACAAAAATTGACTTAGCAGCTTTTACACTTTAACCATCGTTATGTAAATCAGTTGTGTACATATTAAATAAAACAGGGCCCTAAACAGATTCCTAAAGTAACCCTTTATTATTAAGTCTAGGGCCTAGGATAGATTGATTTGTTCGCAAGTAAATTGATCTGTTGGTGTAAACATTTATAATACTGATTGCAAATTGTTTTGGGAATTGAAATATTTTAATAATTTTATCTAGCAGGAGTGGCAAAGACACAGTATCATATGCACCTTATATGTCAAGGAAAAGAACAGGTAAATAATTGTTTCTTGAGAAATCTACTACCAAAGTACTTAAGGCATCCATTGTACCAAAACTCCTATTGAAACCATACTGAAGCTTTTGTT